CCGAGCCGAGCCGAGCCGAGCCGAGCCGTGCCGAGCCGAGCCGAGCCGAGACGGACGGACGGCGGCGGCGGTGCGCGAGAGCCCCCTTTGTTCTCTATCACTCAACAAGGAAGTGGAATGTCAAGCCTTAAATACCATTCCCAATAGTGTTTCCAACACTATGTGGGATTGAGCATTACCAACAGTTAGTTGGATGCACCGACCTTGTATCAACCAATGACGACTTGAGCACGATCATTTTCATCACACATAAGAGAAAGAAGACTTTAGGAAAAGAAAAGAGAATAATCTTAGTGAGTATATAACTTATGACCTAAGGGAACAATGATAAACAACTTAACAAACTGATCAAATATATTTTCTCTTGATTATTAGTTCTATTATATTTGTATGTAATTATAAATATAACATACTTAAATATGTTTTACTTACATTTTTTTTTGTCCACAAAAGTTTAGGTCAGAGGTGGCCTTTTACTTACATTTATTACTTTACCTTATTAACTTAAAAATAAATATATGTTAAAGTTTGATCCTAAACATCTAATCTCTTTTCTCTTATTATATAAAAAGAGTTAGATATATATTTGGTACTTGAGTTAGATATGCTTTTTAAATTGATATTTAAAGAATTTTATTTTAAAATTAAAATTCAAAGTTTTTTTTATCTATTGTTTTGATATGTTTAATATTTTTTAATATTTTATTTTTAAAAAAATATATGATGACATCATTATTGATATTTTTTTCAATTTATTACTTAAACTTAGATAAAAAATTTAATTGGATATTTGACGCTAATGTAGTCTTCATCGTCCAATTAAGATGTGACACGTGACATGTAATGATAGTATAATCTTGATCACTCAATGCTAGGTAAGTAAGTTGATAGATAGTTGAGATGCCAAGTCAACATAGGTATTACTTTGGGGGAAAATATCAATTAATGTGCAAATTTGATAAAATTTATCAAGTTAATGTACTAATTTGTAAAAGAACCCTTTTAATTAAAATTAGTTTAATTAAATAATATCTTGAACTTTATGTCACGAAGTCAAGATGGCCGAGTTGGTCTAAGGCGCCAGTTTCAGGTACTGGTCCGAAAGGGCATGGGTTCGAATCCCATTCTTGACAAATATTTTTGTGAATCTCTTACAAGAGCCCCAAATGAGAGTATTTTTGGATGCCAAAAATAAAGCAAGCTTGACGGGCTCCTCAAATCGCTATTGCTCGATCGACCCAAACATCATTTTTTTTAGGATTAAATATAGAATAAGTGTTAAAATTATATCGTTTTTTACGAATATATGCTTAAAGTATTTTTTTTGACATATTATGGTGTCTAACGTTAAAAATGTTATTATTTTATGTGTCTGGACTGTCAACGATGTTAATTTCTTCCGTTAAGTGACATATGTCACAATTTAGTGATTTTTTTTTTTAAATTGAAAATATTATTATATTTATAAAACACTAACTTTTCTTAAATTAAAAAAAAAACTCTAAAATCCCTAAATCCTAACCTTAACTCATGTCACCACCTTTTCTGACCACGACCACCGCCGCCGACGTAGTCCCTACTATCCTCCTAGTTATACGTTGCCGTAGTTGTCAGTGATTAGCCGTCAAAATAGCGTGGGATCATTATTTTAATCTTAGGGCTTACAGGGTATAAAATGTCGAGTCGTCGTCGGTCGGTCACAATTTCATAGAGCTTTTGGTCGCTAAGGGAAGTTGAGGTCATGTAGAGCTTCGTTGACGTCAAAAAGCAATGGTCGATTTAGGTTTAGGAGTTGAAATGAATGTTTTCAAAATTTTAGGGTTATTTCAAAAAATTTAAGTTTTTAAAATATATATTTTTAATTTTAAATAATTTTTTAAAGTAATAGATTATGACACGTGTCATTTAACGTGGGAAATTAACACTGTTGACAGTTCGACACCTAGGTAACGTTTGTAACTTTAGACACTGAAATGAGTCAAAAAATACTTTAGACACATATTCGTAAAAAAAAGTATAGTTTTAGCATTTATTTTATATTTAAGCATTTTTTATAATAATAAGTAGTTTTATTATCTTAATAATATAAATGAGAAAAAAATATATTTATAAAAAAAATTAATTATACTAACAGTTTAAATGATATTTTTTATAAAAGTTATTTAATAAATAATTATGAGTAAAATGATAAATCTATATATAATTTTTTTGATTTATACTGAATCTTTAAATAGTGATTTTTACTTATTTTATTTAAAAATTATATTAAAATTTGACAATTATAAAATTATATATTAATTATCACTAACAAAATTAATGCTCGATGAATTTGTGACACTATCTCAATAGAGAGATTAAAGGGTAAAGTATACAAATGGTCCTCGATTATATGATATTATTTTATTGAATATATTAACTATTAAAAGTTATAAAATGATCCATCTCCTATCGGAAGTTGCTTTGTTGAGTCAATTGACTATTTAAAAAGTTACAAAATAGTCACTCAACTATTCATTATATTTCAAACTTGTCATTTTTTGTTAAAAATTAACGGTCATCTAAGTTAGATGTTACCATGCTGACTAAGATATGATAGTCATTTGAGATTATGAGATCATATTTTACTATATCTCGATCAGCAGGTTAATATATAACTCAGTTTGTCGTCAAATTTTTAACAGAAAAGGGCTAGTTTAGAACATAATGAATAGTCGAATGACTATTTTTTAACTTTAATAGTCAAAAGACTCAACAAAACAATTTCTTATAATTGGAGGTCTATTTTGTAACTTTGAATAGTTAGGAGACTTAATAAAGAAATATCATATAGCCAAGGGATTATTCATATATTTTACCGTTAGTAATAACTTACAATTTAAGTACTTGAATTTTTGGATTACTAACACGTGAAATTATTTGTCTCTTTTTATATTCTATGTTACTTGTAATGTAAATTTTAGGTCATTGGTGTAATTAAATTTATGATTTTTAAAAAATAATAATAATAAAATTTTGTGACCTAAATTTTAGGTCATCGGTGTAATTAAATTTTTAATGATAGAATACTAAATTGAAATTTAAACTAAATACATGGTATGAATTTAAAAAAATAAAATAAAATTTAAATGTTAAGCAAAACAAAAGTGATAATTTAAGTGTCAAACATATACAACAACAACAACAAAACCCTATTCTCATATGCAATAGGGTAAAAGGGAGGTAGGGTAGTAGGCGGCCCACAATACCAGGTTGATAAGTGTCAAACATATAGTTTACCCAAATAAATTTTTAGGACACTTTACAATAGGGATGGACATATCGAGTTTCAATCACCCCAATCTGATCGGACATGAAAAATATATATTATCCACCTAAAACTTGATCTAACTTAGGTTTAAAGTGACTTTACCTGACCCAAAATTCGACCATTCTTTTAAAATAAAAACTAAACTTGAACAAATCTAAAACAAATATATTTATAAAAAATATTATTTTCTTGATAAAACATGGATCTAGTTAAGAAATAATATAAAGAGAGTTATTATTGCAACTATCTCTAAATACATAAGATATAATTACATTATTTTTTTAAATTAAATTAAGTTAAATATTTTTACCTTAAATCTAAACTCATACTTTAAAGACTCCGCCCCCACCTAAACTTAAACCTGATTTTTTAAAGCATTGATTCTATAAAATTGAATCGGGTGAAAACTCGTCGAGTTCGACTTTGTTTGTCCCTATTTTTCATCATCAATATTAAAATGAATCATCAGAAAAGGAGAAAAACGCGTGAAACTCAGCGCTCCTGAAACGCGCGTACCAATAGAAGGAGCTTTCTGTTTTGTACCGTTGATCACTCCATTATTTTGAAATCTTCCTTCCCTCGTCGTCTCCGTTGCCTCCGATTTACTTAATAACTGATTTCCACTTTACAAAGAAAAAAGATTTTTTTTTTAATTACACTTTCCGTTAATTTCTCGATTCCATCTCTTTTTATCAATGGATGAATCATTATCGTATTCAGATCTTCCAACCAGTCATTTACTCGGCTCAGTTCCCGTAAGCATGGTTTTCAAAACCGGATCGATTAACGAACCGGTAATGCTATCGGTTTTTTAGTTCAATCAGTCGAATCGGTCCGACTGGTCGGAAGAACCGGACGACGTCATAATTATTTAAAAAATTAAATAAAAATACCAAAAATATTTAATAAAAAAATAATTTTTTTATATCACAATTCATATTCAAAGTAAGTTATAACATATATAAATTAAAAATCATAAAATCAAGTAAAACAAAATGATTCAAATTAACTACAACATAATATTTAAGGTAAAACATATTAAATAATAAATATAATTATATAACTATAATTAAAAAATAATTTGGGCTAAAAAAATCATAACAAAATGATATTGTTTGGTTTATTTTTTTTTAAAACAATCTCACATGGCTAAAAAACATAAAAGATCATCCTAACTAACTTCTATAAATAATAGAGGTAATTTGGCATTCAAAATCATGGAGCCTTTTGGTAAGCATTGAGTGAACTATTCTTTCACTTCAATCAAGCTCGAATTTTAGGCTTCAATCGAGCTTCTAAATTTTTTTTGAGTTCAAGCCTTTTCGAGTTCAAGTTTCAATATTATATTTCGAGTTCGAGTTAAACTTCATAATTTTTAGCTCGTGAGTTTGAATCGAGTTGAGCTTACTTTTAAATTTTTCAAGTTTGAGTTCTGGCCGGTTCACTAGTAGCAGTTCTGGCCGGTTCACTAGTAGCGGTTCAACCGGTCTAGATTGAACAGGACTAGGCAACGGTTCCCAGTTATACCGGCCGGTCCAGTTTTCAAAACAATGCCCGTAAGCTTCTTAATTTTCTTTTCCCCCTTCATTTTCTGTTAATTTTACTATTTTTCGAATTTAATTGTTAAGAATTAAGATTCGGCATTTTTATGTGATTTGGTTTCGACATTCATCCGAATTCCAGGCTAATATAAATGAAGATAAGAAGGCCTCGTATGCAGAGAAGCTTGCGTCAAAGCTTCATTTGTCTTGATTTTTGCCATATATTTAGGTATGGACATATCTGGATCACAACCACATTGGTCTTTATGCTTTCTTCCTTTGGAAGGCTAAAATTAAGAAATTATAAAGTGGTGGATTTAATTTGGTATTTTGAAAGAAACAATAGGTTAAATTGTAAAAATTCAAAGTTGGTAGACCGTGTTGAGAAGTGCAGAAAGTTTAGTGACTAAACTCATGATTTAACCATTTTTCTTTAGGAGTTAATATAACTCTCATTTCCCGTGTATTTTCTGCAGAAAATGCTCATAATTCCTCTCTCGGTCAACAAATTTCAACTCCGATCTACTCACCGTCCGACCTCCGATCGACGAGCCGAAACCACCATCGTGTTCGTTGTCGAGCGAGGAAAAAAATCCCTCAAAACTTTTGTCGTGAATCGTCGCCGTTCTTCGTTAATTTCAGTCGGAAGTATCGTCGATAATAATTCAATTTCAATTGGTTTTCGTCGATTCACAACGATCCGAGCATCCGTTTACGACACCTCCCGCACCATCGTGTTCCTTGCATCGTTCCGAGTCTGACGGTGTCATCCTTGGTCTCCGTCGACGGCGGCGCGTGAAGAGGTGAAGCGGTCAAAGTTTCCGATTCGTTGAAATCGAGCTCTCCGCCGTTCAAAAAATTTGAACCGAGCATTGTAAGTATCTAGAGATCGCTTAAAATAATTTTTAGGAATTTTTCCGGGAATTTAGCACTGTTTACGCGCCGCCACTGCGCGTGGGGAAGAAAAAAATGACTGGTTTTGCTCCTATTTTGACCGGTTTGACCGGTCATAACCCGACCCGACCCGTTGACCCTTTGACCGTTGACCGGCGTTGACCATTGTTGACCAAAATTTTGACCAGCTTTGACCGGGCATTAAACGACCTTTGACTTTGACCGAGTATACCTATCCTGACATTTTTCGACGTTCCAAATCTGATTCCGCAGTCTGTTTTTCGAAATTCGAACTCGAAGGCCTCGAAATTGCCGGTCAAACTCGTTGACTTTGATTTTGACCAAAAATTCCAAATTTCCAAAAAGTCATATTTTATGCTTTTGACGTCTTGAATCCGAATACGAAGTCCGTTTCGCCAAATTCGAACCCGATAAGCTATTTTTTCACTGATTTAGCACTCGATTAGATCCGTTTATCGTAATTAAGCTCCGTTTTTTTATATAATTTATGTTGATATGTATCTGAGGAATTATTGAAAGTTGAATTGAAGATCAAAGGCATTCGAATGGAATTTTTATGGTCGATCAGTATTTCACGAAAATCGAGGTAATACTTTACTACCTCTTTATGCTTTATGGAACATGTTAATATTGATAAATGCATGAATAAGATAATATTGGTCACTTTTGTGGAGTTGGTTAATTTATACACTCGATATGAATGTGGTAGAAATTCAGTAACTGAATATGGATCGAATGACTAATATAAGAGATTGAAAGATTGTTAGAATTAAATTACAAGTTTGTGATTAGTGATAAAGAAATCAGACATAGATTTGTAAATTATATTTTATATCATCAAAAGTTAAATATTAAAAGTACTTGGATGAGAAATTATGAGAATATTCTGATAGGGTAAAATTACAAAAATACCCTTATATTGTAGGATGACAAGAATTGTCCCTGGAAGTTGGTTAATAACTCTGAAAAGACATATTGATCCGATATAACTACTGATGTGCATAAGAAATGTTAGTTTTATTTGAAAATGATGGATAACCGATTTTAATCCTAGAAGAGTTTGTGAAGGAATCATTTCAAGATCAAAGAATGTTCGGGAAAGCAATTAACCATTGGATCTCTAAAGTATAATTATTTTCGTTAAGAGTTAATACCGAAATTATCTGATTAAGAAATTACGAAAATGCCATTGAGAGGTAAAAATGGTCCAAGTTGACTCTGAATGAGGAAGTAACATGAGAATTTGTTTTTAAACCGATAAATTATTGATTTGATTGTTGAGATCCTATTTTTTGTATGGAAAATTCTGATAATCCGTTAGTAACATCTGAGAAGGCATTTAACTTGGAAATCTCCGACTTGAGTAAGTACGTGAAGAATAATAATTTATCGATGGTGATATTTTGTCAGAATAGTTCAAAGGGACTGACATAAATGATAAGTTTGAATTAAATAATAAGACCGAACGGAAGGAAACGATTGAAATATTCTAGATTTGTAAAATGACCAAAATACCCCTGGAATGGAAATGACTCAAGAATGTCACCAAGCTCAGGAATGAATGGATATACTCAAGCTTTGAAATGAATAGAAAAATATTGAGCACTAAAATGACCAAAATACCCTATTGGCCTAGAATAAGTAAATGTCTTGATTAATTAAGGAATCCAAATAAACATGGATGTTGTACTGCTCTTAAAAGTTATGGAACGCAGCTTAAGTGATCAACCAATGTTAGTGCTATATCATTACCTGAATGATATAAGTACCACTTGAATGTTTGTTCATCTTCTCAAATTTGGATCGATGATAATTCTGGAAGTACTTGGCTCAGCTCAACTCTAGAGCGCATACAGTACAAATAAGTGGGTATTCGTGAGTCAAATCAACCACGAATACCAGAATGACTTTATTATACGAATAAATTGAACTGAAATGAAGTACAACGTGTATTTGAAATTCAGAAACGTATGAATTATTCTGGAAAACTTTAAAGTAATCGGGATAGACTTGCTTACTAAACGAACTAAGTAACATCAATGACTGAGGATTAAATAGGTGATTGGATGAGTTTGGAAACACTGTTGAACTTACATGATGAATTGTCCTTATGGGTTATGAGCCATGGATCAAGTATGTCCGTATTTCCTGATATTGTTGAAACGTGGAAATGAAATAAAGACCGTTGGAAGATTTATTCAGTGATGATTATGGGGATGATCTATGGATCTGCATTATGGTATTAAAGAGTGAATACACTGGAAGGATAATGAATTGACTTGTTGACATGCATCAGTTTGGGAGTTGTGTAACTCGAGTTGTTTGATAATATGATCGATAGTCGTAGATTGTAAATGACTTGAATCTTCGATTCTATATTTCATCTAAAATCACTTCGGTCATGTTTGATAAAGCAAGTAACACATAAGGAAAAGATTTTGAATACCTCATTTGGTTCAATTGGACTGAAATCCTATGAATTCAAAGTATATTCCTGAATACCCCTGATTGTTTGGGTAATGGAATCACTCGTAGTAAATCTGAATTTAGAATTATTATGTATAAAGGTTCCTGAACGTTTTCCTAATGCACATGAAAATATAGTGGGATTTTAAAGTATCAACCTTAAATGTCTGGCTAGATCGGTTAGTAATCGATTCTCCTCAATAGAACCTTGTTCCTGGAATTCGATCAAATTTCATAAGTTTCATGTTATCCATAATGATAACTACAATGGCCTCTGAAAATACTTGGATTCTCTAGTGTATTCCTTATTTATTACTGAACTGTTTTATTTGTTTTAAAATGTGGTACACTGAATTCTATGGCTCACATTTTATTGATGCACCAATTTATTGTGATGTTTTATGGATTAAGACGACTATCTGATTTTTTGTTTGAACTGGTATTGGATTTCCATGTATATGGATTTATGGAATTTATGTCACGGTGCAATTGCATTTTTGATACGGATTTATAAAGTACAGCTCTGATCAAGCTGGAAAACTTTGACGGACCTAATGTGACTCTAGGGTAGGCTCACGGGCCCTAAGATATTCCATTAGGTTGGTTCCCTTTTGCTGTGTGCTTAGGGTAAGCCCTATTGACTTACGGACTTAAGGATACATGCCCCAAAGCCTATCCTTAGGTTGGCTTCCTTTTCGCTGTGTGCTTAAGGTAAGCCCTATGGACGCAGTTCTAGGAACTACGGATGGTGTACAAGAGAATGGTTTAAACTACAAGTTCCAAAAGTTAAATTTCATTATGATTTTTATGAGATTTACTGAACTATCATTTGATAAGTGTACCTATTATGATTTTATTGTACTCTTGGAACACACTAGACATCCTATTCGATCTCCTGAAAATGTTAAACTATGAATGCTTCTTTTGAACAGAGATTCATGGCTTCTACTCGATGAACTTCTAAGAGAACCCCAAATTATTCCACAAACTGGTATACGTATGATTCAATAAGGAAATTATATGGCTTTCCATTTATCTATATGTCATGTAGCATCATCTGGTAGTTCTGTATTACTGAGCTTTCCGAAGCTCACTCTATTACTCAACATTGCAGGTTAAAAGAATTGTACCAGTACAGTTATCGACATCAGTAAGGGAGTTCTTCCGGCGTTGTTTTCAGAGTATGATACATGTGATTAGGGGGCATGTAATTGTATTTTGTTTTATATACGAGTCTGAAAATCTGTTTTTATTTCTGAATACTAATAAATGATTTTATACGTTACATGTTTTAAGAAAAGTTTTAAATTTTTCGCTATTTTTACAGTGGGTCGCTCCGGTGGCACTAATGTGACAACCCAGATCGGATCGGGTTATCCGCATCGGTCTGGGGGTTACATTTAGTGGTATCAAAGCATTTGGTTTGAGTCAAAATTTTTCAAGATAGACCGACTGGTCGAATGTCAAAATATGTCTGATCAGTACATGCCCCTAGACTGCAATCGTACCTCTCTGAGCCGGAACTCCAGGGCTGAGTCCTTATCTGTAGCGAGTAAACCAAAGTTTCTATCTGTTAAGGCTATACTTGTACAAAAAGGAATACCAGTAACATCTGTTTAAACGTTGTAAAGTACCTCACGAGCCATGTGAGAGTTATTTATCTGAAAAATTCTGACTTGACTCCGGAAATGAAATTGGGGTATGCTACTGCTCTATGAGCCTATTCTCATGACAAAGACTGAATTGTTACTCAAGGAAATTTTCGTTCAGATTCTTTTATTGAAATGAGGAAAAGTTATGATAAGAATGTATGCTTAGGTGGTTAAGGATTAGTGGAGGATCCGTACTTTTGTAAAAACTACTTAAAGATATGAGAGAAACTGATGAAAGTTTTATTTCTGCAATTATGTGACATGAATGAATTTCGAGGACGAAATTCTTTTTAAGGAGGGGAGAATTGTAAAACCCCAATTTAGGGGCTAAAATTAAGAAATTATAAAGTGGTGGATTTAATTTAGTAATTTGAAAGAAACAGTGGGTTAAATTGTAAAATTTTAAAGTTGGCAGACCGTTTTGAGAAGTGCAGGAAGTTCAGTGGCTAAACTCATGATTTGACCATTTTTCTTTAGGAGTTAATATAACCCCCATTTCCCGTGCATTTTCTGCAGAAAATGCTCATAATTCCTCTCCCGGTCACCAACTTTCAACTCCGATCTACTCGTTGTCCGACCTTCGATCGACGAGCCGAAACCACCATCGTGTTCGTTGTCGAGCGAGGAAAAAAACAACTCAAAGCTTTTGTCGTGAATCGTCGCCGTTGGTCGTTAATTTCAGTCGGAAGTATCGTCGATAATAACTCAATTTCAATTGGTTTTTCGTCGATTCACAATGATCCGAGCATCCGTTTACGACACCTCCCGCACCATCGTGTTCCTTGCATCGTTCCGAGTCTGCCGGTGTCATCCTTGGTCTCCGTCGACGACGACGCGTGAGGAGGTGAAGCGGTCAAAGTTTCCGATTCGTTGTAATCGAGCTCTCCGCCGTTCAAAAATTTGAACCGAGCATTGCAAGTATCTCGAAATCGCTCAAAATAATTTTTAGGAATTTTTTCGGGAATTTAGCACTGTTTACGCGCCGCCACTACGCGTGGGGATGAAAAAAATAACCGATTTTGCTCCTATTTTGACCGGTCATAACCCGACCCGACCCGTTGACCCGACTTGACTCATTGACCCGTTGAACCGTTGACCGTTGACCGGCGTTGACCAAAACTTTGATTGGCTTTGACCGGGCATTAAACGACCTTTGACTTTGACCGAGTATACCTATCCTGACATTTTTCGACGTTCCAAATCTGATTCCACAGTCAGTTTTTTGAAATTCGAACTCGAAGACCTCGAAATTGCCGGTCAAACCCGTTGACTTTGATTTTGACCGAAAATTCCAAATTTCTAAAAAGTCATATTTTATGCTTTCGACGTCCTGAATCCGAATCCGAAGTCTGTTTCGCCAAATTCGAACCCGATAAGCTGTTTTTCACTGATTTAGCACCCGATTCGATCCGTTTATAGTAATTAAGCTCCGTTTTTTATATAATTTATGTTGATATGTATCTGAGGAATTATTGGAAGTTGAATTGAAGATCAAAGGCGTTCGAATGGAATTTTTATGGTCGATCAGTATTGCACGGAAATCGAGGTAATACTTTACTACCTCTTTATGCTTTATGGAACATGTTAATGTTGGTAAATGCATGAATAAGATAATATTGGCCACTTTTGTGGAGTTGGTTAATTTATACACTCGATATGAAAGTGGTAGAAATTCGGTAACTGAATATGGATCGAATGACTAATATAAGAGATTGAAAGATTGTTAGAATTAAATTACAAGTTTGTGATTAGAGATAAAGAAATCAGACATGGATTTGTAAATTATATTTTATATCATCAAAGGTTAAATGTTAAAATTACTTGGATGGAAAATTATGAGAATATTCTGGTAGGGTAAAATTACGAAAATACCCTTATATTGTAGGATGACAAGAATTGTCCCTGAAAGTTGGTTAATAACTCTGAAAAGACATATTGATTCGATATAACTACTGATGTGCATAAGAAATGTTAGTTTTATTTGGAAATTATGGATAACTGGTTTTAATCCTAGGAGAGTTTGTGAAGGAATCATTTCATGATCAAAGAATGTTCGGGAAAGTAATTAACCATTGGATCTCTAAAGTATAATTATTTTCGTTAAGAGTTAATACCGAAATTATCTGATTAAGAAATTATGAAAATGCCCTTGAGAGGTAAAAATGGTCCAAGTTGACTCTGAATGAGGAAGTAACATGAGAATTTGTTTTTAAACCGATAAATTATTGATTTGATTGTTGAGATCCTATTTTTTGTATGGAAAATTCTGATAATCCGTTAGTAACATCTGAGAAGGCATTTAACTTGGAAATCTCCGACTTGAGTAAGTACGTGAAGAATAATAATTTATCGATGGTGATATTTTGTCAGAATAGTTCAAAGGGACTGACATAAATGATAAGTTTGAATTAAATAATAAGACCGAACGGAAGGAAATGATTGAAATATTCTAGATTTGTAAAATGACCAAAATACCCCTGGAATAGAAATGACTCAAGAATGTCACCAAGCTCAGGAATGAATGGATATACTCAAGCTTTGAAATGAATAGAAAAATATTGAGCACTAAAATGACCAAAATGCCCTATTGGCCTAGAATAAGTAAATGTCTTGGATTAATTAAGGAATCCAAATAAACATGGATGTTGTACTGCTCTTAAAAGTTATGGAACACAGCTTAAGTGATCAACCAATGTTAGTGCTATATCATTACCTGAATGATATAAGTACCACTTGAATGTTTATTCATCTTCTCAAATTTGGATCGATAATAATTCTGGAAGTACTTGGCTCAACTCAACTCTAGAGCGCATACATTACTAATAAGTGGGTATTCGTAAGTCAAATCAACCACGAATACCAGAATGACTTTATTATATGAATAAATTGAACTGAAATGAAGTACAACGTGTATTTGAAATTCAGAAAAAACTGAATTATTCTGGAAAACTTTAAAGTAATCGGGATAGACTTGCTTACTAAACGAACTAAGTAACATCAATGACTGAGGATTAAATAGGTGATTGGATGAGTTTGGAAACACTGTTGAACTTACATGATGAATTGTCCTTATGGGTTATGAGCCATGGATCAAGTACGTCCGTATTTCCTGATATTGTTGAAACGTGGAAATGAAATAAAGACCGTTGGAAGATTTATTCAGTGATGATTATGGGGATGATCTATGGATCTGCATTATGGTATTAAAGAGTGAATACACTGGAAGGATAATGAATTGACTTGTTGACATGCATCAGTTTAGGAGTTGTGTAACTCGAGTTGTTTGATAATATGATCGATAGTCGTAGATTGTAAATGACTTGAATCTTCGATTCTATATTTCATCTAAAACCACTTCTGTCATGTTTGAAAAAGCAAGTAACACATAAGGAAAAGATTTTGAATACCTCATTTGGTTCAATTGGACTGAAATCCTATGAATTCAAAGTATATTCCTGAATACCCCTAATTGTTTGGGTAATGGAATCACTCGCAGTAAATCTGAATTTAGAATTATTATGTATAAAGGTTCCTGAACGTTTTCCTAATGCACACGAAAATATAGTGGGGTTCTAAAGTATCAACCTTAAATGTCTGGCTAGATCGGTTAGTAATCGATTCTCCTCAATAGAACCTTGTTCCTGGAATTCGATCAAATTTCATAAGTTTCATGTTATCCATAATGATAACTACAATGGCCTATGAAAATACTTGGATTCTCTAGTGTGTTCCCTATTTATTACTGAACTGTTTTATTTGTTTTAAAATGTGGTACACTAAATTCTATGGCTCATGCTTTATTGATGCACCAATTTATTGTGATGTTTTATGGATTAAGACGACTATCTGATTTTTTGTTTGAACTGGTATTTGATTACCATGTATATGGATTTATGGAATTTATGTCACGGTGCAATTGCATTTTTGATACAGATTTATAAAGTACAGCTCTGATCAAGCTGGAAAACTTTGATGGACCTAATATGACTCTTGGTAGGCTCACGGGCCCTAAGATGTTCTATTAGGTTGGCTCCCTTTTGCTGTGTGCTTAGGGTAAGCCCTATGGACTTACGAACTTAAGGATACATGCCCCAAAGCCTATCCTTAGGTTGGCTTCCTTTTTCGCTGTGTGCTTAAGGTAAGCCCTATGGACGCAGTTCTAGGGACTGCGGATGGTGTACAAGAGAATGGTTTAAACTACAAGTTTCAAAAGTTAAATTTCATTATGATTTTATGAGATTTACTAAACTATCATTTGATAAGTGTACCTATTATTATTTTATTGTACTCTTGGAACACACTAGACATCCTATTCGATCTCCTGAAAATGTTAAACTATGAATGCTTCTTATGAACTGAGATTCATGGCTTCTACTCGATGAACTTCTAAGGGAACCCCAAATTATTCCGCAAACTGGTATACGTGTGATTCAATAAGGAAATTATATGGCTTTCCATTTATCTACATGTCATGTAGCATCATCTGGTAGTTCTGTATTACTGAGCTTTCCGAAGCTCACTCTATTACTCAACATTGCAGGTTAAAAGAATTGTACCAGTGCAGCTATCGACATCAGTAAGGGAGTTCTTTCGGCGTTGTTTTCAGAGTATGATACATGTGATTAGGGGGCATATAATTGTATTTTGTTTTATATACGAGTCTGAAAATCTGTTTTATTTCTGAATACTAATAAATGATTTTATACGTTACATGTTTTAAGAAAAGTTTTAAAATTTTCGCTATTTTTACAGTGGGTTGCTCCGGTGGCCCTATGTGACAACCCAGATCAGATCGGGTTATCTGCATCGGTCTGAGGGGTTACAGAAACTTTGCCACATACCTTATACAAAAGCTTACTGGTGACACTACTTCTTGGAGCTTCGATGTCGGCTATGTAAATGTAGCGGCTTCTGAAATCTATGGTTATGCAATTGTGGTGCCAATGGCATTTTTCTTGCTTCAATATCTGGGTTCAAATGCTAGCATTGTACGATTTTGGTGCATTTGGGGTTATTCTCTCTCCATTTTCATTCCAACAGCGGTAAGTTATATTTTTATGGATGGTAGAACCTTAAATGCTAATTCAGTTATATTTTTGCATCATTTTGGAGCTCAAATATATTGATCGTTTTACGGTTCCTACTGCTTATTCCAGTCGAGTTTCTACGATGGATGATTATACTAATTGCCGGAACGGCTTCAGCATGCTTTGTTTACTTGAATTTACAATCTTATACCGAGGGGGTGGATGATCTCACCATTATGGTGGTTGCTGCTTTCTTGTTGCAAATGGCCCTTGCAATCTTTATCAAGGTCTGGTTCTTTCCCTAAACCACACGAAGTCATCCTGTATGGTCCGAACACTGCTGTGGATTCTCCGATACTAGGAATTATACAAAACCTAAACATGTAACAGAAGTTAGATCTAGGGGTCGATGTTTTCAGCGACGCGTTGTGGCGCCACTAATTCGGATTTGAAGGTGGCTGATCTAATTGACGAGGTGATGTTGGTCTACCACTAATTCTCTCTTGGACATGGTTATGTAAATATAGGTTGTCATGGTCTTCATTTGTCAACTGTAATTGTTATTCAAATTTTTGTGTCAAAGATTTTGGCTCCTATGAAATACGAACAATAACTAGCTTGAAGTTACTTGGTAGACTCTCTCATTTGCCCTACTAGAACCACGGTCCTCCTGCCCATTTAAGATATTCGGCTCAATATGTGTAACGCATTGTCTGTTTTTTGGTTGGGCAATGTGGGTCGGATATGGTTAAGCCATCATTTATAATTTCAGATACAATTAGGGATAAGTAAAATTCTATATGGTTTAGAAAAAAATATTTTTTTAATTTTAAATGATTCAAGTTAATTTGGATTTATAATCCAAATTTTAATTACAAGTGGAGTTTGAATTTATAAAGTTCAAATGACTAAAATCTAAAATCGAAACATAATTTGATTTGTGGTTTGATCCTGATTTTATTGTTTCTTCAATTCCTTTTTCGTTTTAAGTTCATTTTAATCAAATTTGAATCAAATTTTCCTCAACTATAGTGATTTTTTTTTGTGTTTTGACAACATATTTCCTTTTTTTTCAATTTAATTTCTCAACTTTATGTCTTATTCAATTTGATTATTCGATTGTAACTCTTTGTAGATTCTTTATTTTCATCAATTCATTGACTCCTTTATACCTTATAAATACGTTTTCTTCAAAATCTTCTTTTAAAAAATAACATTACAAATGCATCAAAGGAGAGTAAAAAAAGGGTAAACTATGCAAATGGTCACTAATGTTTGGGTAAATGTTAGTTTTCACCACTGATGTTTGAAAAGTCACAAATCAATCATTAACGTTATCGTTTGTTAGAAAATATTCACTCGACGTTAACAACCGTTATTGTGGCTGACATAAAGCTGATGTGGCATGTTAACTGCTGATTTGATATTGTTTGACCATTATTTTGACCTACCCTTCTCTTCCATCTCTGCTCTCTCTTCTTCATACTTCATTTTAACTCAAAACTCACCATTTTTGGATGGATTAAGCTTTAATTCCAACATCAAAAAACTCAAATCAAAACTGCACAAACCAGCCTTACACACCCAAACCAGTGGAAAGCAAAAAAGTCCCCCGCAACGAAATAAACAAAACTTAAACCACCCAATACAATCAAGCTATCAATGGCTCAAACAACACAAAGCATTTTGTTAACAGACCGTCACCACTTTTGCTGCTTTCGCACCTAAACATTTGTGATTTTTACTTGTCAGAATTCCGTATTACTCATATAGATTGGCAGAACATGATCAGAGACAAATGTATCGAAAGTACAAATCTATCAGGTGATGGAAAGTTTTTAATTGTATTTCATAAGCAACTAACAACAAGATCATATTGGTTTGATGGAAAGATGAGTAGGGATCATGCTGAGGACTAAGATGTAAAAGGGAAACAGAAGACTCGCGAAATTTTCAATAACCAGAAACAACTACGGAGAGACGATTAAGCAAAAAAATAAAGGGTCGACGAATTTACTACAATTTTTATGGCATATATCACTGTTAGTTCGACTCACTAGCTCTTGACGAAGCTTGTTATTTTGTTGAATTGCTTTTTTTTTTCTCTTCAACAGGCTTTATTATAAAAGCTTTTGCCGCAATTATACAAAACATTATTGAGGATTATTATACCTTCAATATATCACATCACATACAGTAAAAGAGCTTCAGGTCCCAACCTGGAAGCGTTAAAAGCGATGTAGATATTCCACAAAAAAATACAGACCTTACTAAATCTAGGAACTATGTTACTTTAACTCGGGTGTGAGTTCCAGATACATGCATGTTTAAACACTATTGGAGTGTGTAGAATGCTAATGTGTGCATTGAGTGAGCTTTACTCTGTGTGTGAGTTGTTATGGTTGTTGAAAATAGTGACATATGAAGTTTGTTATGGATGTTGTTACAGGTAGTTGTGAGATTGAGTAAGCTTGAAGTCATGACTACTATATAAGCTAGTTGTGTTGTAGTTACAGAAAAGGAATAATAAAACCAAATGCTATTCATTTCTTCTTATTCAACTTCTCAACATGGTATCTTTCGCCAAGGTTCTGGGCATTTTTTTCACACTTCTAGATTTTCTTTCTTTCTGTTTCTTCACTCATGGAGTTGAATATTGCAGCTAAACGAGTTAAATCAGAGAGTCCTAAGGCCAAAGAAGAAGCCAAGATCGATGAGACCATCATCTCCGGCGATGAATTCAACTTAGAGAATGACAAGGAACCGATTTTCGTTGCTGTAGTTGTCACCGTCGATCATCATGCCGAGGTTGCTTTCACCATTTCTCCAGTGGAAACTATCGAGTCAGTCCAAGAGACCAAGAGCATGAAGAACAATAAGAAAAAGAAACAGAAGAATGAGGAGCAAGTCTCCATCACCAAGAAGCCCTTCGTCTTCAATCTGAATGCCAAGAGGTACATCAATGAGCTCAACTTTGCGGCTTAGGAATGGTTATTCCTATTGTTGTCACCATAGCTGAGATCCTGAAGCGAAATGGATTTGCAATCCAGAAAGGAATAACAACATCGACTGTGCTCAACACCCATGAGGATCGAAAGGGTCGACAGATCGAGAAAGCTAAGATTGAGATAGTGCTTGGAAAAGCTGAGAAATTTGAGGTCGTCTGGAGTGCGGTGTTGCAATTCTTTGCAAACTGGTCAACAACGACAGTAATGAGCCTCCATTATAAACTTCAATCGCTCAAGAAGGGTAGTGATAGAATGCGAGTTTACTTTACTCAAATTAAAGAGGTGAGCGATGCTCTTGCCTCCTGTTGAAGTCTGATTCCGTCGATGGGGCATGTGGTCAATATTTTAAAGGGGTTGTCGTGTGAATACTAGCCATTTGTGGCTGTTATAATTGCCATGAGGGAATCACTTTCCCTGGAAAGCTTATGTACTATGCTTGTTGATGTCAAAACCCAACTTACTGGGTTTGATACTCAAGTTGAGACACTTTCGATGAGTGCCAATCTTACTCAAGGAAAAACGGTTGATCCTAACCATGGTTCGTATGTTCATGCTTCCAATATGTTCGACCAAATGTTTCAATGATGTTGCTGGTGTCTGGTTTGTTTCACATTGTTATAGCATATATTTTTTTAGAATTTTTTTTAATGTTCATTCAAATCAAAAGTTTGTATCGATTCAAGTCGAACGGAAGGAAGCATCGCACTTTCGATTCAAGTTAAACAGAAGGAGGCATCACACTTTCGATTCAAGTAGAACGGAAGGAATCATCGCACTTCTGATTCAAGTCGAACGAAAGGAGGCATCACACTTTCGATTCAACTAGAACGAATGACTTACTAAATCATTGTCCAAATCTTCGTTTGAGAAATTTTGACCTAAAGTGAGATTTTCTCATTTGCTCAAGGAGAAGGAAAAGAGTAGGGAGAATATTGGAGTGTGTAGAATGCTAATGTGTGCATTGAGTGAGCTTTATTGTGTGTGTGTGAGTTGTTATGGTTGTTGAGAATAGTGTCGTATGAAGTTTGTTATGGATGCTGTTACAAGCAGTTGTGAGATTGAGTAAGCTTGAAGTCATGACTACTATATAAGCTAGTTGTGTTGTAGTTACAGAAAAGGAATAATAAAACCAGATGCTATTCATTTCTTCTTATTCAACTTCTCAACAAACACAGATAAGATCAGTTTTTTGGAGTTCTTTCATCCAAAATGAAAGGAACAATTTGTTGAAGATGTTGTCACAGAAGATGCAAAATTAGCCAAAGATGGTTCGGTTGAAGAAGAAAAAGAAGGGGTTAGGTTGAAGAAGAAGAAGAAAGGTCGGTCAAAATGGTATAATATGATCAAATGATGGTAAAAAATCATATTAACGTGCCACATCAGCTTTTCGTCAACCACAAGTAACGACTGTTAACGTCGAGTGACCATTTTGTAACAAATGATAACATTAGTAATCAATTTATGACTTTTCAAATATTAGTGGTAAAAACGAACATACCCAAACATTATTGACCATTTACGTAGTAAACCAAAAAATCATGGAACATTGATTTAAAATATTATATTTTTGTCCCATGTGGCCCGCTTTCGGAGGCGCCTCATCCACCAGCTAACCCAAAAAAGTAATCCAAAAGCCCACTAACACTTCTCAACCTCAAAACAGCTTTCTCTTCTACTGATTTGAAAGCTCAGGCTTATTATAAAAACCTATTTCCAAATTGAAAATAAAAACCATTATTGACTCACTGAGTTGAACACAGCAAGCAATGGCCGAGGATAGTTCCAGAGCTTTTGTCAAGGATGTCAAGCGTATCGTCATTAAGGTTCACTTTTTTGTTGTTGCTGGCATTGTTTTAAGTTTTGACTTTTTGATTAGCTTAATGTGATAAAGAAACGAACTGATTTGAATGTTTAGTGGCTTTATGTTGGTTTCAATTGGAGGGGAGGTGGTGTTTGGATACTAGGAAAGATGTGGAACTGCAAAAGAAAATGAACTCCTCGATTTCTTTTTATTTGTCTACTGTAGCAGAGAAGACGCACATTTTTAGTGCCTAAAACATGCTTTCTTTTCGATGGAAAAAAGGTGGCAGAAGTGAATTTTTTTTATCAGGCATTTCCTAGTGCCTTCTCCTAAATTGTGCAAAATGCATTTATATAGTTTTTGAAGATCTTAAAATGGGATCGAGGATGCTGGATGCTATTTTTAAGCCAAGCTAAGTGCATGATATATATGTATAAGGATATTGAAATCTGAAAATAGAATTTCTGTGTTTGTTTCATTGCAAATTGTAATTTAAATTGTAATATTTCTTTAAGATTATTTGTTTTTTGAAAACTG